AAAAAAAAACAAAAAAACGAAACAACAGAAAGCAAACGAGTACAATTTCCAACAGATCGCTGGAAAATGAAAAATATTTATTGAGAATTGTTGAAAACTTGAATAAATATGAGAAACTGAGATTGTACAAAGTATTGTATGTTATTACATTATACAAGGTGGGTAGTATGCATTTTTATTTGTATATAATAGAGTATCGTGAATAGTATTCTTTAGATTCAAATTTGACATGTAAGAAACACGTAGTATATTTGTAGTGTAGTAGTTTATTATATTCAGAATCGAAAATGTTCTTAATAAAACTGAGTGAATTTGAAAGTACTAAAAAAAAAAAAAAAAAAAAAAAATCACTTATAATTTTCAATTATGTAATATTATCATTTCATATTTAATAATAATTTTTAAACGTAATGTCGTTGAGGATTGAAGAAATTTTATGAAAATTTTAAGAATCAGAAACTTTATTAATATATTCATAATGAAGAACATTCGTATATTAATAATAATTTAATACAATCTGTGTACTTAGTATACTAATCCAATCTTTTAATTTCAACTGTACAATTGACGTACCTATATTTAATCTATTTGGAATTTTTAGATTTTTTTTTTTCAAATCAATAGCACACTGTTTCGAATAGTTTCTGTCATTGTAAATAGACAATCGCTGCGAAATAATTTAATAATATATCGATGTAATTTTTACTTCATGTAATATTAACTAAAACAAGTGTCCCTAAAAGAACTATGTTTTCTCAAATTCTCTTGACTTTACAACAAGAAACTATTAAAAATACAAACAAATAATTTGGAAAGAAACAGGAAGAAAATTAGTTTCATAACGGAAAAACCACTTTAGAATGTCAGATCATCCTCTGAGTAACGCGATCTTTAATCTTTGTAAATTCGGATAAAAATAAACGACAGCCTATCAACAATCGATCAATAATGAAATTTCCCCAGATATTTTCTACAATCTCAATCTTTCAAAATTCCGGCCGAAAAATCGTTCGAGGAATCCTAGTCGATAGTTTTTTCAAAAAAAAAAAAAAAAAAAAAAAACCACGTCAAACGATCGTGAAACAATTCGATATTTCGACTGAAATTTCGAAACGTTTCTATTCCCATTGACATGGGCTTCACAGAGAACTTGATTCGATCGTTCCGATTGAAAATACTGTGTTCTCCAAGGGAGAGACGCGCCAGAGAAATATTTCGTCGCTTCTTCGATCGATTTGTACGTTTCTGAAAAGTTCGTCACTGCCCTCGGCGATTTGTCCAACCTTTTTTCGCGAGGGGTTCCAAATGCGAGAAGTGATTCGCGGTGCAACCCTTCAGGGCATGCATGCGTATTAACAATCTAGCCCGAACTGCCTCTCGCAGTTTACCTACCGGCTCTACCGTACACTCTGTTTCATTGAATATTTCAGTGCACAAGCAAACACCGATGCA